ACGGGACCCCCCCACAGCGCCCCCAGGGCGTATTTCGGGAGCGCTATTTTTGCATTCCTCCGTCACCCGGTAAATATAGAGCGGGTGCGACTTAAGGGAGGGGGCAGCGCCCCAAAAGTACCGAGACCCCCCCCCCCCCGCGGGGTCACATGGGGACGACGCGAGACCCCCATTCCTAAACGGGACGGGACCCCGCGGGGACCCCACCTCCTCCCCGGGACCGCGCCGCTCCCGGCCCACGCGGGACTCCATCCCCCCCAACCTCAACCCGGATTCCAACCGCTGGACGGGACGCCGTTCGGTGCCCTTCCCCCTCCCGGTGCCGCCCCCAGACTCACTCCGAGCGCCGCGAGCAGCAGCAGCGCCGCGGGCACCGGCCGCCCCATCGCCCCGCTCGCTCCGGCCCCGCTCCGCGCCCCGGCCCCGCTCCGCCCCGCCGCGCTGTGCCTCTGGGCGGGGCCGCCGGGAAACGCGCCCACGGGGGAACGGGGAGCGGGATGGGGGCGTGGGGTCAGAGAGCCGGGGCCGCGTGGGGACACCCGGCCGAACCGACACGGGGCTGCGCGGGGACGCGGGGCACCGCGGGGGCATTCGGGGGCGTCGGGAGCGCAGTGTGGGGTGTTGGGGCGTGTGGGGGAACCGGGGGGGCGCGGGAGCTGTGCGGGTACGGGGAGCCTAGGGGCTGTGGGTGTGCGGGGGACGTGGGGGGCTGTGCGGGCACTGCGGGCTGCGGACGGGCACGCGGGGGAGATGGGAGTGGGGGGTGCAGCCGCAGGCTGTGGCGGCACCCGTACCCGCCCGGCAGGGCACCGGAGACCGCGTGCCCCCCCCAAGGCTGGGTGTTAATGGTTAACCCCGGCCCCACAGCTGCTTGGCTCCCATGGGGCAGCACCCCGCTATGCCCCCCGCAGGGCGCTGGGTCACCACCCCATCCCCCTGCACTGTGCACACTGGGAGGGCTCGCAGCCCCGACCCCATAGGGCCGCCCCACGCCGTGCAGAGCCCAGCTGGGCACCGGCTGCCCGCTCCCAGGGTTGGCCTTGGGCCGGGGAGGGGCTCCGATAAAGGGGGGATTTAAGGCTGGCGGACGCCCCGTGCCACCTGGCCGAGCCCTTGAGCACAATGCTTGCGCTCCTCATCCCCCTGCTGCTGCTGGCTGGCGGTAAGCTGTCCCCAAACCCGCTGTTGTCCCCACTTTGGGGGGTCTGGGTGACCCCCTGGGTGACGGTCACCCTGTTGTGCAGGCTGCCACTCTGCCATGCTACCCGGTGGGTCACGGGTTGTGAACGGGCAGGATGCGGTACCGTACAGCTGGCCATGGCAGGTGAGCAACATGGGTTGGTTTGGGTTGGAGTTGAGGTTTTGGGGGAAAGGGCTAAGGTTGGAGTTAGGGTTGAGGCTGAGGTTGGGGTTAAGTTTGGGACTGGGGGTTATGGTTAAGGTTAGGGTTGGGATTAGGGTTAGGGTTGGGATTATAGTTGGAGTTAGGGTTGGGGTTGGGGTTGAGGTTGGGGTGAGCATCAGGATTGAGGTTAGAGTTGAGGTTGGGCTTATGATGAAACTAAGGTTGGGGTTGCAGTTATGATGAGGACCAGGGTTAGAATTAGGCTTACGGCTACGATTGATTGAGGTTGTCATTACGTTTATAGTTATGCTTAGGGCTAGGGCTGTCGTTGGGGTTAGGCTTGTTTGGTGAACAGAGATGGGGACACTGCGGAGGGTGACAGCACCCTGCGGCCCTGCAGATCTCACTGCAGTACGAGCGTGACGGCACCTTCCGGCACACCTGCGGGGGAACCCTCATCGCACCCGGCTGGGTGATGACGGCCGCACACTGCATCTCGTGAGCCGTGCGCCTGCGGGCACAGGGATGGGGTGCGGGCATGGGGTGACGTGGCGTTGCTTGGAGGGATGCACGGCGCAGCGTTGAGGTGGCGAGGGTGCAGCAGGGGCAAGGATGGGGTGGGAGGGGTGAGCGGGACGGGGAGCCCCAAGCCCTGGGGTCAGCGGGCACGGTGTCCCTTGGGCAGCTCCACGCTCACCTACGAGGTGGTGCTGGGTGAGTACGACATGAGCTCCGCCGAAGGCCCCGAGCAGCGCATCCCCGTGGCGGCCGATGACATCTTCGTGCACCCCAAGTGGAACAGCTTCTGCTTGGCCTGCGGGTGAGCGGGGTGCGGCGGGGCGGGGATGCTGTCCCCACCTGGGGACCTCTCTCCGGTGACACGTGTCCCCGGTGATGCCTCGCCCCGGTGTCCCTGTGTGCAGCAATGACATCGCCCTGCTGAAGCTGCAGCACAGTGCTGTGCTGAACGATTATGTGCAGACGGGGCAGCTGCCACCTGCGGGCACCGTGCTGCCCAACGGCTACCCGTGCTACCTGAGCGGCTGGGGGAGGCTGAGCAGTGAGTGCTGGGATGGAGGGGGGGGGGGGGGAGGGGGGAGGAAGGAGGGGGGGGGGAGGGAAGGGTGGGCGGTTGGGCCAGCGGGTGGTGGATGTGGGTGGGTGGATGGGTGGTGGGTGGGTGGATGGATGGATGGATGGATGGATGGACAGATGGTTGGATGGATATGAAATGGATGTGGGATGAACGACAGATGGGTAGATGGACGGATGGTAGATGGATGGATGTGGGGTGGATGTGGGATGGAGGGATAGCCAACTGTAGGATAGATGGATGGATTATGGATGGATGACTGTTGGATGGATGGGTGAATGAATGGATGGGTGGAGGTAGGATGGTTGGAAAAACGGGTGTCGGATGGGACAAATGGGTGGATGGATGGTTGGTTTATGGATGGATGAGGGTTATAGGGTGGGATGGAGGGATGGATGGATGGATAGAGGGATGGATGGAGGGACGGATGGCATGGAATGGATGTGGAATAGATGTGGGATGCCTGTGGGATGGCTGAGGCTGGCGTGGAGGATGCTGGGCACAGCGTTGTCCACCTGGGTCCCTAACACCGCCCCTATTGCCAGCGGGAGGACCACTGCCAGACAAACTTCAGGATGCTCTGATGCCTGTGGTGGACCACGAGCATTGCACGCAGCCTGACTGGTGGGGCAGCCTTACCATCCGCACCACGATGGTCTGTGCTGGCGGCGCCGAGCAGGCCGGCTGCAACGTGAGTGCTGTGCTGCACTGCGCCGCGAGGAGGGGTTGGAGCATCCCAAACCATCCTGACCCCCATCCCGTCCCCAGGGCGACTCGGGCGGCCCCCTGAACTGCCAGGCTGAGGATGGGCACTGGGAGGTGCACGGCATTGCCAGCTTTGTGTCTTCACTGGGCTGCGACACTCCAAAGAAGCCCACTGTCTTCACCCGCGTCTCTGCCTTTGAGGACTGGATTGCTGAGGTGGGCGCTGGGTGCAGGGATGGTGGGGTGCAGAATGCCCAGGGTGTGGGGTGACTGGCTGCCAGGGGCCGGGACACCGGGGTGCTGCAGTGCTGGGGTGTTGGTGTGCTGGAGAATTAGGAAGCTGGGAACTGAGGTGTTGGGAAACTGGAGTGTTGGGGTGCTGGGACACTGGGATGTTGGCATGCTGGGGTGTTGGGGCACTGGGATGCTGGAATGCTGGGGTATTGGGATGTTGGGAAATTGTAGTGTTAGGATATTGGGGTGCTGATTGTTGGGGTGCTGAGATGTTGAAATGCTGGGCTGCTGGGACGCTGGTATGTCAGAGTACCAGAGTGTCAAGCTGTCAGGGTGTTGGAGTTCCAGCGTGCCGGGACACTGGGGTGTCAGAATGCCCCGGTATTGGGCTCAGGAATGCTGGGACATTGGGGTACCGGGGTGCTGGGGTGCCATGATGCTCTGATATTTATGGGTGCTGGGTGCCGAGCTCCCCCTGAACCACTTCTTTCTCCCAGACCATAGCAAACAACAGCTGAGCAGAGCAGCAGCGACCTCCGTGCTTCACAGCGCGCAAATAAACCCACAGAGCTGACCCCTTGCGTCCCGTGTGCCGGGGGGGTGGAGGGGGGAGGCGGGGATGCGCGCACCTGGTGAGAGTGGCTGCATTGCCAGCAGATGGCACTGGCAGAGCGGGCACGGCAGCACAGCAGAGTTGGGCACACGGGGATGCCGGGCACTGTGGGAAGGGTCCCCTCACGGCGCCGTGATGTCGTAGGAATGGGCACCTGGGGACATCCAGATATCAGAGGAATGGACATGGGGCGCTCTGATGCCACAGGAATTGGTCTCCGACCTCCGCCCAAAGGCACCTGAGGCCGTGGAGGTGGTTTTCCCAAAAGGTGCCACGGGGACGGGCGCCGACAGCTGGGCCCTGCGGAAGAAGCACCCCGAGGTGCCCCGATGCCGCGGGGAGGGGTCCCCTCCGGGTGCCCTGTTCCGGTCACACGGCCGTGGCAGCAGCTCCGTGCCCAGCTCTCGACCGCCGCCTCCTGCCCTCCCGGCCCGGCCGTCTCCTCGCAACCACCGTCCGCGGCGCGTGACCGGGAACAAAGGGCCCTTTGATAGCGCCCGGCACGCATGGGGCCCCCGCTCCCCCCATCCCATCCCATCCCTTTGGGAGCCCCACATCCCTGCGGGGACGGGGCCACCCTGAACTGGATGGAAAATCCCCATCACGTCCCTCTGCAGGCGCAGGGCTGTAGGGTTTTATGGGCCCCTGTGACGTTGAGGGGGACCTTTGCTCCCTGGGGGGGCCCTTTGCTCTGGCTGCTGAGGCCAGCTCAGCTCGTGACACCCTTGTGCAAGCGGTGCTGCCTGCACGAGGCTGGGACAGGTGGGTGGGCCAGGCAGGGGCAGCTGGCATGGGTGCTATGAGCCCCGGCATGGGCACCGCACGTCTGATGGGAGTGCTGCAAGAGTGGCAAGGGTGCTGCAAGGCTGCTACGGGTGGTGCAAGGTTCTACAAGACTGGCACGGGTGGTGCGAGGCAGTATGGGTGCTCTGAGCCTGGCATGGGTGGTGCAAACTTGGCATGGGTGCTGAGAGCCTGGCAAGGGCAGCGTGGGGCTGGCACACGCACCACGAACCTGGCTTGGGAACTTTGATCCTGGCACAGGCACTGCGGGGCCTGGCACGGCTCCTGCAAGGCTGGCATGGACACCGTGAGCCTGGCACGGGCACGCGGCCCTGCAGCCCCAGGCAGCTCCTCCCTCACCGTGGTGCCAACCGCCTCCAAAACCCCCGTGTGTCCTCTGGCCGGACCCACCCCCACGGGTGACTCAGCCCGTTCCCAGCAAAGCCCGTCCCTATATAACACGGTGTCACCGTCACACACACAGCGCCCGCCCGGCCGCTGCCTCAGTTTCCCCACGCTGCAGCCATGTGGATGGTGTCACCGCCGGTCGGTAAGTCCTGCTTTGACGCCCCGACGTCCCCTGGCCCAGCGCAAGGCTTCCCGTCAGAAAACGGCCCGTTCGGTGTGTTTGGGTTTCCTGGTGGATGTTGGCTGGGTGAGGTTTGCAGACATGGGGTGGTTCGGGGTGAAGGTGTGGAGCAGCTCTGCGTGGCTGGGTGCAGCGCGGCGCTGTGAACCGGGGATGGAGAGAAGTGAGAGCTGAGCACGCTCTGCCTGCGTGCTAACCTGCCCTGGAACTGCCTGTTCTGAGCAGGTGCCCCTAACGCACATGGGGTTGATGTGGAAAGAGCCAAATCCATGTATTTTTCCCCCAGAAACAGTAATAAAAAGCACTGCCAGCAGTGGGGCTGAACCCCATTCTTTCTCCCCGTATCTCCGTGCCGTTGGGGCTGGGAATGCCAGGTCCGGGCACGGCGCTGCGCGGCATTGTGATGCTGCAGAACACAGTGCTGCCTGCCAGGCGCTGCTTTGCTTCGGACCCGCAGCCACTTCGGTCAGACCCCAAAGTGCTGCCTTTTGCCCATTTTTCCCCTCCCCACAGCACGGGGAGAGCCCAGACACAAAGAGCGCTCGGCCTTGATGGGGGCACAGTGTGACTCATGGGCCGAGCGCCCCCAAAATGCCGTTTCCTGCAGAAAAATGGGGCTGGAGGTGAAAACCTCCCCACGCTCACCTCCTCAGGGTGTTTTTCCATGCACACCTGCCTGGCCCCAAACCGCAGCGGCGTGGCCTGGGGTGGGGTGGCCAAAGGTCAGCGGCAGCAGCACCCCCACCCTGCTCAGAAAAGAGGAATATTTGGAATATTTCCTTCCTGCAGGAGGGAGCGCGGCGGGGGGGAGCGGTTGTGGCTCTTGTTGTGCTCTGACGTGCTGTTTTCTTTCAGATGAAGGATCTCACCAGCTTGCCTGGCTTTGGGACCACGGCAAAGGCAGGGTGCAAAACACACTAGTAGGACATGACCCTTAACACTTTCTCTAAAGCGTAGCCCTATAGGTATATAAGATCAATAGAGCTTAACACTGGGGTTGGCTTTTATTCTGAGCTTGGGTTTGGCTTTTTTGTCTGTTTGTTTGTTTGGTTTTCCTTTTGTTTTCTTTTTTGTTTGTTTGTTATTTTGGAAGCGTTTTACTTTCTCCTTCGCCTCCCGCGGGCAGACAGAGGCAGGGGCTTGCAGAGCCTGAATGGTTTGGGGAGAGGTGCAGGAGCATGAGGAGGAGGGGGAAAGCGCTGCGCGAAGGCTCCTGCCCACAACCCTCCGCCGTCCCCTTCCCATCGTCGGAGGGGGGCAGAGCACCGACCTGCTACCTCGGGCGCTTAAATAACTCCCAGCCCCGAATCTGTGCCCTTGACCGGCGTCTCGGCGGCTTGCAGGTATTTTCCGGTACACCAAGAAGCTGTTCCTGAGCAGGCCGGCGGGACGGGCGCAGGCGCTGGAGTTCGTCCGGAAAAATGCGGCCAACGCACTCTCCATGGCGAACCTGGTGGTGGGGCTCTCCTCCATCCTCTGCAGCCTCAACAGGTGGGGGACGGGAAGGCCGAGGGGCCGGGCGGGGAAAGCGGAGCGGGGCTGACGCCTCTCCCCCTACAGGCAGTACCACTGCTCCTGCTGGCTGCTCCTGGTGGGCTTCCTGCTCGATTTGGCCGACGGAGCCGTCGCCCGGCAGCTCAACGCCTGCTCAGCGCTGGGTGAGCCCCAGGGCTGGGAATGGGCCGGGGGTGCCGGCTGCCGGCCGCCCCCTCACCAGCTCACCCCCCGCAGGAGCCAAGCTGGATGACTTTGCTGACTTCACGTCCTTCGGGCTGGCCACGGCACTGCTGCTGCAGCCACGCGGCGTGCTGGACGGGCTGCTGGCCATCAGCTACGTGCTGGCCGTCTTCGCTCGCCTCTGCTTCTTCTCCAGCGGTAAGGCTTGGGGCTCACAGGGCTGGGCACCCCGTGGGCTCCCGGCTGAGCGCACGGCACCCCGCAGGGATCCCCTTCACCTACCGGGGCTTGCCGTGTCCCTACGCTTCCTCACTGCTGGCCAGCACCTTCCTGCTGACGGGCGGCCACGTCACGCTGCTGCGCGTCACCGCCATTGCCATGGTCCTCTTCATGGTTGACCGCGGCTTCTACCCCCACGACAAGGTGCTGGAATCGCAGTGCTGGAAAAAGGCGATCTACGCCGGAGGTAAGGAGCGGAGGTAAAACACATCCCGCTCTCACAGAGGGTGCTCAGCCATCCCACGGAGCAGCGACCCAGGGAGGCGCTGGAGCCCTCGCTGCTGACGGTTCCCCCCTGCAGGCATTGTGGCCGTTCTGTTCTCGCCCGCAATGGTCGCTCCCGTCTACTACCTCGCCTGGTCGGCGTCGTACATCTTACTCCCCTTCGCCATCTGGAGCTGCAAAGCCTAACGGCTGAGCAGCAGCAGCCCCGGCGAGGACGGCTCCGCCTTAACCTCCACTGCACGCATAGTAAAGCTCTCCTCTGCCTCACTCTCGGGTGCCAGCGCCAGGCTATCTCACCCCCCCGCCTTCGTTAGCTCTTCCCGGGAAGGAGAGCCGTGACAACAGACTCCAAACCTAGCAGGCGCAATGCCGCGGCCCCACAGGGCTTCCCACCATGGCAGTCTGCTTAGAAAACAGCTGAGCTCCCACAAAGGGGAACTTAGCGCCAGCAGAGCTCGGGCCGGGCTCCAACCTGCCCAGCACACCCGCACCCCCAGCCAGAAGAACAACAGCCCTGCACCAGCCCCCTTCCCAGGGAACCACCCCCCAGGTGCCTCCTGCCAGTCCCACCAGCTGGGACAGAGATGGAGGTTCGACCAATGCATTCCCACTGTACATAGTAATTTATTGCGAGGGCACAGTTGCGGCGGCTTTACGTTCCCCAAATCTTCAACATGAGGAGGGAGCGGCCCCCGCAGCAGGCAGTCTGTAGCAGGATAGGGGTGAGGGTGCCCCCTTTCCTTGCAAAGCCCAGCCTGAGGCACGGGGAGCACTCCGGTATTTATTTCTGACGTGTCGCCATAGGGAAATAATATCTGAAGCGTGTTCTTTTTTTTCCTTTCTGCGCCCGGTCGATGAGGTGTGGGAGGGAGGAAGGAAGGAATGTGGAAAGGAAAAATGGAACCTGAAACCCTGGGGCCGAACTCTCTGGAAATAAAAAAGCTGGAGAACTGCGCCGCCCGCTCTGGGAGTGTGGGGTGGGGGAAGGAAGCGAAGGTCAGACCTCGCCGAGCAGCAGAGGAAGTGGAGCGGCTCTGTCACTCCGCACCTCCAGGGGATCCTGCAGCTCCAGCAGCTGCAGACAGACAGAACGACCCCGTCGCGGGGCGAGCGGCCCTGAGACCCGCAGTGCTGCCAACGGGCGGAGGGGCTGCGCAGGGCGGCTGGCGGCCATCGGCTGCAGCTGCTCTGGCACACGGCCCTGCGATCCCGGGGGGCTCGGCCGGCCTGCTGCGTGCGAGCGGGAGGCGGAGGAAGGAGGAACGACCGCTGCTTTTATTTAGAAAAAAAGAGAAAAAGAAAGCAGAAAATAACAACAAAGAGGCGTCTGTCAGCGTAAACAGCGAGATAGGGAAGGGCCGGCAGGCGGCGGGGCTGTGCTGCTCCGTGCCGCTTCGTGCCGCCT